AACGTAGCCGTGTGAGGGCCACACAGCTTCCCTGGGACTGAGGGCGTCTCTGGAGGGAACTGTGGTTAACAGAAGCCAGGCGAGGTGGCTGCCTGTGGTGTTGGCCTGTGTCCTCCCGGCCCCCTTGTCTTCTCCCGGGGGGTCTTGGCAGGCGGTGCGTGGAGGGAGTTAGCAGGGCACTGAAGGATGCTGAGACGCAGGTGCCTGGAGCGTGGGGGTCCCAGCAGGCGAGGACGCACTGGAGGGCTCCGAGCAGTCTGGGTGTTCGCTCAGAGAAGGGATCCGGCACTCAGCAAACCCAGTGTTTTTCCCTGGTTAGTGACAAAATCCAGCAAGTCACTAACTCCCCAAGTGGGAAGTGGAGCCAGGGACCTGTGGTCACCTCTCCTTTCCCCTCGGCACCCGCTGAGTCAGGAGGGTCCTCTGACCTTCGGCCTCCCCCAGTCCACCCCTGTGCTCTGTCTGGACCAGGCGCCCTGCCGTTCACGACACCTGTTTCTGCAGCCGGTCTGTGCCTGGGGCTGTTGTACTGACCTTGGCCTGAATTTCGGGGTCTTGCGCTCGGCCCTGTGTCCCAAGATCTGGCGAGTTGGCCAGGGCAGGAAAGGAAGCTGCTGGGTTGCCCTGAGCACCACCCCCCCCCCGTCCTCCCCAGAAAGAAGGTTCTAGGCCAGCGAGGGTCTCACCATGACGGGCAGCGAGGGGCAATAGAGGCCTGCCTCCAGCCCTGGCTGCTGGTCAGACCTCAAGGGAGCCCTGGCTCTCACCGGGCTCCACTCTTCACCCCTGACTTGGGTGAATTTTGGGGTCACATGCCTAGGTCTCTGGGATGCCTCTCGGGACTCGTGGCTTTTCCTGTGGAACTTCCGTTTTGCAAGATCTCAGGCTGTCACCCTGTGATCGGGGTGGTCTGTGACCCATCACCTGCATGGCGGCCACCATAGACCACCCACAGAGCCAGCTTCTGAGTCGAGACAGTACAGTGATGACCCTCGGCCGGGTCCTGGAACCCGCTGCTGCCCCGTAAACCAGCCTTGGTCCCACCTGGGCAGGCCAGTGACCCTGCCTGGGGCCATCTGCCAACTTCCTGGGCCTGGCGGGTGTTGTCCTTCCATCACGGTCGTCAGAGTTCACGGCACTCTGTCTGGGGGGCTGCTCCATCTGCTGCCCCGTGTTTTCTCTGTGGCTGTGGAAAAGGCCCTCTTGGAAGTAGCTGGTGGGGGCCGTGGGCTGGGCATCCTGAGTGCTGGCCCGACACTTGCTGAGACCCCCTGCACTGTGAATGCCTTGGGGCACAGAGGTGGATCTGCCATAGCTCTCGGAGCCCAGGAGCCTGCAGGGTGAGGTGGCCCCCGTGCTCGCAGGTGCTGTTGAGAACTCCATAAGTCACGCCCTGCCAAGTGCTCAGGAGCCAGCGCTCACTAGCGTTAGCTGTTGTCATTGTCACTGAGTGGCTCCGGGTCTTGGAGGAGAAGCACAATGTCTGAAGGCGGCAGCTGGACCCCAGGTGGGGGTCATGAAGCACAGGCACCAGGTGGGAGGGTGCAGCCCTGCCCCATAGTGGTCCGTGTTGTCCCTTGCCCACGGCCATCTCGGGGCCCCTGACAGGCTCCCCCTCCTGCCTGGACACTCCTCCCCTGATGTCCAGGGGGCTCAATTCTTCTCCTCACGTTCCCCAGAGCGCCCCAGGCCCTTACTCTCTAATTGACGGGTTATAATCCTGCTGCCTGGGGGTGGTCTGGCTCTGCAGCAGGACCACCACTCCGCTGCCTCGTGGTGTTTCAGATCATGACCTTGGGCCTCCTGCATGGCTGCCAATGCTGTCCAGATGTGTGTATGCACGGTGGGTGGTGCACACTCCTTCTTCCATGGAGGGGAGAGGACAGTTCTTTCCTGTGCGCTCTTCTCCCCATTGTCCCTGCAGGCCACAGCCTGGCTGGGCCTCCCTACCCCACATTCAGGGCCCAGGGAGGAGGAGAGCTGGAGTCTCCGCCCTGGACCAGGACGGAGCTCTGGAGTGTCCGTGTCTACAGTGAAACTGTAAGACGTGCATCAGGCTGGATTGAGGGCATATCCAGAGCCTGCCCCTTCATTGCTTCAAAGATCGCTTCTTCTAAAAATACCTGGGGTCTGCTTTGGGGGAGACCCAAGAAGTGCAGAATTAGAGGCTGGCCCCGTGGCGTAGTGGTTAAGTTCGGCACGCTTTACTTCGTCAGCCCAGGTTTGGATCTCGGGCCTGGACCTATGCCAATCGTCAGCCATGCTGTGGTGGCAACCCTTACAAAGTAGAGGAAGATTGGCACAGATGTTAGCTCAGAGCTAATCTTCCTTAGCAAAAAAAGAAAGAAAGAAATGCAGAATTAAACTGTGTACTAAGTGGGTTCTGGAACCTTCTTGCGTGCCCTTCTCCTTCCTTCTGCTCTGTGCCCAGCCATCAGAGTCATGGCCCTCTGCAGTCCTGACACCTCCCCGTGCACAGCTCTCCCCCAGGCCCCAGGCCTCACTAAGCTCAGGCTAGGCCTGGGAGGCCAGAGCCCAGGCTTGACCCAGGCGGTCTGTATCTTCACCGCAGTTCTCAGCCTGGGTGAGGGGAGATCCACCCTCAGGAGTGTGGGCTGGTTGGCCCCATTCTCACCCTGGCTGCTGCATGTGTCTCTTGTGGTGTGCGGCTGGTGTAGGTTATCTGGAACCTTCCTGCCAAAAGCCAGGTTGCTGGCCTGGGTTTGTCTCCCTGAGTGCAGTGAGGCCCTCTGGGGAGGGGGAGTCAGGACCACCCCTCCAGGGCGTCAGGCCCTGCAGAGGTCGCATTGGACTCTGGTGCAGATTTCAGCCCAAGGGACGTGGCCGGGTCTGCTTCTTGGGAACAGAGTCAGAGGGGCAGGGCCACTTGCGGTGATTGCTGGTTCCTCTAATTCAGTTTGCTTATTAGTTCGAAGCCTTTAAGCTGTGCTTGTGGCACATAAAAACCACATGGAATAGCGGGTGTGTGCATGGCTTCTGGAATGTGAGTCGCAGTGCAGGTGTCCTGCAAGGGGAGGCAACTGGCCAGGGCAACGTGGGGACACCCAGGAAAGCCTGAAGCTGGGCAGCTGGCTTGTCCGCACAGTGTCCTGGCCAAGAGCCTGGGCTTGGAGCCAGACCGTCTGAGTTCATGCTCTGTCGTGGACTGAAGGTTTCGTCCCAGCAAAATTCCTGTGCTGAAGCCCTCACCCCCAGTGTGGTGGGGTTAGGAGGTGGGGCCTTTGGGAGGTGATTAGGGTCAGGGAGGTCATGAGGGTGGGGCTCCACGATGGAATTAGTGTCCTTATGAGAGGAAGAGAGGCGAGAGCACTGTCTGCAAGCCAAGAAGAGGGTCTTCATAAGGAACCCCTCAGCTGGCATCTTGATCTCAAACTTGCAGCCTCCGGAACCATGAGAAATAAATGTCTCTTGTGTAGGCCACCCAGTCTACGGTATTTTGTTATGGCAGCCTGAGCAGACGAAGACACACCCCATCTTCATTATACACAGTCTCAAAAAAGGGAGGCCTCATCTGTGCATAGAAGTCCAGCTGATGAAGTCCAGGTGGTGGGGGCGGGACACAGAATGGCAGGTGGAAGGGAGCAGTGGGGGGCTTCTGTGGGGCCTGAAATGTGCTGTCTCCAGGTCTGGGTGTCAATCGCACAGGTGTCCAGTTTGTGCAGATGCAGTGCGATATACACGTAGGATCTGTGCACCCGTGTGTGCTCCGCTCTGTGAGTTTCCTGTTGCTGCCGTAACAAATTTCCATACACTGCATGGCTTCAAATAGCACGTTCATTCTCTTACAGTTCTGGAGGCCAGAAGTCCAAAATGAGCCACAGGGCCCAAGTCACGGGTCAGCAGGGCTGTGTTCTTTCTGGGGGCTCTAGGGGAGAATCTGTGTCCTTGACTTTTCCAGCTTCTGGATGCTGCCTGCCTTCCTTGGCTCCTGCTCCCTTCCTCCATCTTCAAAGTCAGCAGCGTGGTATCTCCCAGTCTCTCTCCTCTCTCTGACCTCTGACCCTCCTGCCTGCTCTTACAAGTGTGCATAATTGAGAGTAGGTTGGGCCCACCTAGATAATCCGGATAATCCAGGATACTCTCCCGTCTCAAGAGCCTTAAGTTAATGACTTCTGCAGAGTCCCTTTGTCCGTGAAGGTGACATAGTCACTGGTTCCAGGGATTAGGATGTGGACGTCTTTGGGGGCCATTACTCAGTTTACCACACACTCCAGTTAAAACAACAACTGCTCGGCATTGGCTTTCATCACTCCTGGAATAAATGTGAGGTCCTCATTCTGGCTTCCAGGGCTCTGCATGCCCCTTCTCCCAGTCCCCCATCTCATCTGTGACTCCTCCCCCAGCTCCACAGGCCCCTTCCAGCCTCAGGGCCTTTGCAAGGCTCTGCCTGCCCCATGCTCTTCCCTCAGGGGTCCGCGGCCTCTCTCTCCATCTCATCTGGGTCCTGCCTCAGATCGCACCTTCTTGGTGAGGCTTCTCACGAGCACCCCGCTCATCCTCCCGCTGTGCTGTTCTCCGGCCATCAGCTCCCCAGGTGGCAGGAGCTGTCTGTCTGCCCTGGCAGCGCAAGGGCTTTGCTCTGTGGCTCGGGCCGCCCAGAACCGCGTCTGGTACGTGTGTGTCGGCGATGTTGGTGGGGTGACCGAGTGCTGCCAGTGTTCCTTCTCTGGGGCATCCTGTCGGTGCAGCGGTTTGGTGAGGTGCCTTTCGCATGTCTGTTTTGCACCCGTTTTATTTAGTAAAGGAATCCTCAGCCTTGCTTCACCCCAGATCTTGCCCCACCATGTAAGAAGAGCCCCAATTAGTAGTCCCACCTGCGAGTGTTCCCCCAAGAGGGGAGCAAGAGAGCTGCCATTGCCTGACATGCGCAGACGGGGCCCCTCAGTGCTCCGAAAACCAAGCCTTCCCTCGGCACCTCTGCAGTTGGAGGCGGCACAGTGGACCCAAGTGGTGGTCACCTGGCGTTCTCTCCCTCACAGAGGAGGAGCTCCGGAAGCTGCGGGAAGAAACCAACTCGGAGATGCTGCGGCAGGAGCTGGACCGGGAGCGGCAGCGGCGGATTGAGCTGGAGCAGAAGATCCAGGAAGTGCTGAAGGCCAGGTGAGGAGGTGCCCAGGGCAGGTGAGGAGGTGCCCCAGGCTGGGTGAGGAGGTGCCCAGGGCAGGTGAGGAGGTGCCCCAGGCTGGGTAAGGAGGTGCCCCAGGCTGGGTGAGGAGGTGCCTAGGGCAAGTGAGGAGGTGCCCAGACAGGATGAGGAGGTGCCCCAGGCTGGGTGAAGAGGTTCCCCAGGCTGGGTGAGGAGGTGCCCAGGGCAGGTGAGGAGGTGCCCCAGGCTGGGTGAGGAGGTGCCCCAGGCTGGGTGAAGAGGTGCCCCAGGC